GCGCCGCGCGGCTGTTTCCCCCGTTGTACCCGTGCCTCTTGCCGAGAGACCTGGAGTTGGTTGCTCGCTCCGAGTTGCTCATTTTAGTCCTAAAGGGTTGACATGTAACGAGGAGCGTGTCCTCTTTCCGGTGGTTTCTGGAGGGCGGGCGCCTAACTTCAGACACCGCGTGCAAACCTAAAGGTGAAACCAAAGGAGCGTAGACGGAGGCAGGGCGAAGCATCCGTATAGCTCTCGTTCCCAAACGAGGCCTACGTTTGCGCCTGCAAACTTGGGGCGGACTCTGAAGACTTCCGCTCCTTGCCTGGTGCTGGCAGGCTGGTGGAGAGCGGCGCTGAGGCTGCGCGCTCAGCACACCTCGGCCGCTCCAGAGCAGCCGTGCAGGCCAGCCGGGCGGCGCACGTGCAGCGCAGCCAGCCTCGTGCTTTGGGCAGCCTCAGGCCCACTGCGCGCACACCTGGGAAATGCCCCACAGAGACACGGTGTACCTAGATAGAAGGTATAAGGAAAGGCAGCAGTTAGTGAAAAGGTGACACAGGAAGTCGTTTTAGCCACTTGAACGTTTTGACCTGGTCATCAAACAAAACTTACAGCAGTGTGTTGTTTAGAACACTGTAAATAATGAAATAAGAAATCATGCTTTTTTTTCAGAGAGAAGGGAACTTATTTGTCTTCAGTTGCAATGTGTTTTCTTCTCCAGGATTGGCACCATGGCTATTGACTGGATTGGCTTTGCGTATGCTGCATTGGTGGCTGTTGGAGGTGTTTTAGGATACACTCGTAAAGGTAAATACTGTGGTGGCAAGATTTGGAAATGAAGTGTTCTGAGTTTCCTCTCCACTATGCTTTGTAAAAAAGAACTGATGCAAGAGATGAAAAACGTTCTGTAACGAGCATGATGGCGTTCTGAATCCGCTTGCACCGGTATAAATGAGCTGAGTCACATGAAATTACTTGGGTCGGTTTAAGCAGAAAAAGAAAAAAGAAGCACTTTTTTCTATGAATTTAAGTGATTGAGTTTGATTTTAGGGCAAAAAGGGACTGTTACACTGTTGCATATTGTAATTACATATATACATATTTACATATTGCGTTACACATACATATTTTTGACCTTCAGTCTATCTTGGACCTTCTCGTTTCCTTTGATCTTTTTTGTGTTGAGCATAGTAGAGCATGTTTGATTATTTTCTACAGAGGCGTCCAGGCCTCGTTTGGGGTTTTTAGGAGATGTATATCAGGCGTACACCCTATAGTTGCCTGTTTCATCTGGTCGTTATTTTTAACAGTGAGGAATAATTATACATTTTCACTCTTAAGATAAACAGATAAGTTTCAAGTTATCATTCACTATCATTCACCCATTTTCCATGTCTCAGTCACGTCTGTGGCCCTTCTCTGAATTCGTCCAGCTACCAGCCTCTGTCATGAGCGAGAAGTGCCAAAACTGAGCACAATACCCCAGCAGAGGTCGCACTGGGATCAAGCACAGACAAGCTTGATTTCTAAATGTGCTCTTCTTGGGTGTCCCCGAAAGTGGCAATCCATTAGTCTTGTTCACCATTACATTGCACTGGGAACTGGCATCCACGTTTTTATCCGTCTTGATTCCTGTGATTCAGGGTCACTGTTTCCCTGCATAGGATGTTCTGCATGCTCTGCTTTTAGAGACATGGGTTCACATCTGACTTTCTTAAAAGACTTGGTATATTTTCTTTTATTTGCAACCAGCTGCACTCACTGACTATCACATTAGTCTGTCCTCTTCACTATTTAATAGTCTATGGGAATCTTTGTGGGAAATTAAGATTTTTAACAGTGGTGATACATGTTTTCTTCCAGCTTCTTGATTAAAAGTATTAAGTAGAGTAGGACTGAGAGGTAAATGACATGTAAGGATCTGGATTCTTCATTTACAATAACTTTAGGATCTCTTTTAGTCCAGATAGCAACATCTGCTGCGCTGATTCTGTAGGTTTATCTTACGGTAGCAAGTCAAACGCCTATTCAGAAATTTAAGGGTATTATTGAAGCTCTGGACTTTATGAAACAAAATTGTTTTCTAGCATGGACAGAAGATGTCAAATTATAGTTTAAAAAGCTTTTTTAAATCTTAAATGTCACCTAACTCTTAATTTGTTTTTAATTCTTTATTAATTAAATGTGATATCAGTGATACCATTTATTTTTCCAGGGATGATGTCAGACCGAAAGGCTTATGGCTACCTATGTTGTCCAATTTACCCTTTATACAGATTGACAGATTATGAATTTTCTTCCAGTGTTTTAGAGACTCCCAAGTACTAGAAGATGCAGTAAAAATCAAGAGTGACAGTCTAGAGAGATTACAAAAATGTTTCCAATAGCGTAGGTGGTAAAGCAAATAGTCTAGTTCAGGTTTGTGCTTGGAAGATTATTTTTCCCAAATGGCAAGTATTAACTCCATCATCTATCTCCCTTTACTTGAACAGACTTTACCTGTAATGTCATGCAAGAGAGTAGCCAACAGTGATTAAAGAAACATTACCTTTCCTTTCACATTTGGCAGGTTGGTACACCATGGCAAAATTGGCTCTATTTTCAAAATATTAAGATAATGCCATCTAGAGATAAAAGCTAGCTTAAAGGTATTATACTGAGAAATAACTCTTGAACATGTGGGGGGGTTTTTGTTTGCTTTTGTTTTTTGCAGGTAGTAAAATCTCTTTAGCTGCTGGTCTCACATTTGGTTCTGTGGCTGGTTATGGAGCTTACTGTGTGACACGTGATCCAAGAAATGTGAAGATATCATTGTGTAAGTGTTTTACTACAGCAAAAGGAAAAGGCAGTTGCCTGAAATGCATGTCAAAGTCCGTTTTGTGTTAAATGTTGAGCACCGTGATTATGCTTCAGTTTAAAAGTTAGTTTTTAAATAGAGTTAAGACGCTTGTTATAGATACCTCACTTCAACTTAGCTTACAAAATTTGAGAGTTTAAATGTAGAACTGTTTGCAAGATAAGGCAGGTCATTCACACAAACCCAGCAGGTGTGTGCTACGACCTTGCAGTGCCTCCTTTTGCTAAATGATTAGATAACACTATAAGTATTGTGAAATTCAGTTGAGAGACATGGAAAAGTACTAGAAAGGTCTGCAGATAAGAGTGTAATTTGACAGGTAGAGAGGTATTATGAAATCCAGTCTTGCATGATGTGGAGTATCCTCAACTCCCAATGAAGCAAATATTTTGCCTTAGTCTTATTCTTTGCTGCCAAGAAATTTATGGTATGAACTATGGAATAATTATCATGTTAGCTAGCCTGCCGTGAAACCCTCGTGGAGGCAAAGTACTACAGCCTCTAAGGGTATAATGTTAACCTTGCCTAACTAATTTGCGATAAGAGCTTTTGGGAGCTTATCCCACTTACAGTTTTAGCATGGATGGCTTAGGCTGTGGTTCCACAGGTATGCATACCAGACCATTTAGGATACATTTAATCCTCCCTATGTGGACCCACAATCACTTTTCTGACCTCAATCAGAACATGCAGAACAGTGTTCATGCTGGCTTTTGCTTTAAACCAGCCACAGTTGTAAAATCTTCTTCCCTCAAAAAAATTTTGAATGCTTTTCAGTTGTCAGAGTGCATTTGTACCATCTCAGTTCTTTTAATAAAGGTGGTCATGGCATACCTGATCTGCTGCTGGATAGCCTAAGATTGGATATTCCTATTTTGCAATCATGACCTTGCTTAGATTCATTATCTCTCTGCTGAAAAAATCCAGCTCTTCTGCAATGAAGATGCAGCCTTAAGTATATGGGAATTTGGAATCATTCAGAGCGATATGCTTAAAAGCATACAGTATTGTACTTTTATGGGTTAATTAAATCATTAATTCAGATAGAGAATTTGTGGAAGAGAAGACTAATTAAAAATAAGTAAGTGTTGCATGTCTCCCAGTTCCCTGGTTTTGAAAGGACCAGTATAAAACTTTCACTAATCTGCTTGTGGATATCAGATATGCTAAAATATTGGCAGCGTTGTACATTTCATATAGATGTAGGCCTATGAGGACTTTCCCTCAAACAGGATAAATATTTGTTACTAATTTAATTATATCAGTGCATATGGGATAGTCATTACTACATAGTCATTACTACACCTGCCTTACAATGTTGTTAATATGTACATGTTAAAATAATAGAGACTGTTAAAAGCAGTCTTTGTTTCGTAAACATTCAAAACTGTGACCTAGTTGCTTAAAACCTAAATATGTATTTAGCTTTGACTATGGGTGGGTGGCCTCTTCAAGATCCAGCTGTCCTGAATGAAACTTAAAATAGGTGCTCTGACCTAACCAGGGTAATCTTTGCCTGATGTGATTTAGGGAGTATTCATACGACGTGCTACGTCTGTGGGGACAGTCCCAGCTGTTCAGATTGGTTTTATCCTGATCTCAGTAGGACAACTTCAGAAGAAGGGAGAATTAGGCGTACCTCAAATATCTCTGGTGGCCACTCTGTCTCCTACCTGCATAATTATAAGGACTTTCTCTAATAAATGGGTATTCTTTCCATAGAAAACCAGAATATTTTTGCTTATGCTTAACCGCGTATAAGTGCAAAAAGCAAGTAGAGCAAAAATGCCAAACGGAAATTAAATGTATGGAAGAAAGTGCCCCCACGGAACACAGGAACCAGTAGGATAAATTACAATGTAAAATTACCGTAGTTATCTACAGTATCTATCACAAACATTATGGTAGGATATTCTTGTGTAGGTAATGTTTTAGTAGAGGACCTTGGTAGTAGGGCTCTCATAATTTGTCCTACATACAAAGAGTATGTGGCACACAAATGCCAGAGGCATAATTCCTTAATTGTTTTATAAATCATTTTTTAATGCGTTTGCCCTCTCCCCCTGAAATTACCTCTGCGCTTTCTTGAATACTTTAATGTAATTTTATGTGATTGTGGAAGTTCAGACTTCAATATGCAGGCAATATTGAGAGTGCAGCTTGATGCATCAGAGGCTTGATTTACTGAAGTGCTTTGACCCATTTCAGGTGAGGCAGTGAATATCAAGCACTTTTGAAAATCACATCAGTGTCTCAAAGCTGAGCATTTTAAAAAATCACTGACATATTTGAAGCCTGATGTTAGTAACTAGAAAAAGAATGTTACGGAGTAGACATGCTTCTTAGCTTGTCATTAATTGTGTATATATACTGTCAGGGTTGTAGGCAAGGCACACATTGTGGAAGTCTACCTTTCAGACGTTCCCGAGAGGATCAGATTATAGGAGCAGAAAATAAGAGCAATGGATAATGGAGCATAATAGATTTTTGCAGGGCGTTTTTAATGAGTGCACATGCTTAGCTGGTAGAGTTGCATAAAATGCTTGTAACTGTCAGTGGTTGTCTTAAGGTGTTAGGATGAGCGTAAAACTAATTCTTGACAACTGTGAGCTCAGCACTGTCCACAGAAGCGGGCTGTGGAGTTGGAGAAGAGTTAGCAAGGTGGTTTAACTGCCCTATAAAAAGGGAGGAGGAGATTGGTATAACTGCCACTGCTGCAAGAGTGATAAAGGCCAGTTGCCTGTGATAAGCGCTGCCCCTCTGCCCGCTTTGAGGCAGCGTTTCAAGTGACTATTTTTTAAGTGAGCTAGCTACCTTTGCAGAGTTGGGTTCTCATTAATTGCATTTATGTAGCACTCTGCATTCATTAGCTTAATATTAATTCCCCATTCCTGACTGATCAGGATTCATTGTTACCTCCATTTTTAGGTAAAAGAACTGCAGGAAGAAGATGTGATTCCTTGAACAATATTTGTTCTGTGTTGATTATCTGTTGCCCTTTTGGGCTGATCACTTCTTGTCACAGACAAGGATGGTTTCCTCATAGCAAAAGGAAACCAAGGAATTTGTAGCCATGATGGAGATGTTGACAGTCATATTCTGTGGCAAAAATAAATGGCAGACCTTCAAATCTAGCTTTTGAGGCTGATTGAGCAAATAAAGAGCTAGCATTTAAAAATAAAAACTCTTAAAACAGATGAAGTTGGGTAGTCTAGTTCCTTAAAATAGCTAGTAAGAAAAAGAGCTGTAATGATATAGGGTGATGGGATTTATGAGCTGCTGTTCCTGTAGTTCAGCATACATGTTAGTGCTATGATGAGGATCCTTCCTACCTTATTGGAGGAAGCTCCTGTGAAAGTAGGTATAGGGGAATATAATTCACTTTCTGACAAACTTGCTATCTGTGGAAGCTGCACCTGGAAATAGTATTTGCAGCTGAAAGAAACCATAGTAGTGTATTTTGGAAAGGCAAGAATGTTTCATAGACCTATTTCTCTGATTTAATATTTAATTAAATTACATTTCCTGGCAAAGATAGCAATTTCTTTTGCAGAGCTTTGATAACTGTCCATGTTCCTGAGTAGTCCACTGGGAGAAGGGGGAACATAAATATATTGAATTGTCTTTTACAGTTTCAGCTTTTCTTTTGACCGTTATAATGGGGATGAGGTTCAAGAGGTCCAAGAAATTATTGCCAGCCGGACTAGTAGCATGCCTGAGGTAAACATATATTCAGGATCTTAATGGAAAGATTTCACTGATTTTCAGATAGCTGCCACTCGACATCTGACTCAAGTCAGTATCAGTGGAAGTTATTTTCGTTCAGCAGCTGTATGGTTTAAATGAAGCAAGTTTGAAGGTCACAGTCCTGTTTCCAGTAAGCAACTTGTTCATCTCACTAGACATATACATCTAATATGGACTGACTTTCTCAGCAAAGAGAGGAAATATCAGTAATTAAATTATTAATGCATATTGATAAGACTCTTGGAAGAACGTGAAGTAAGCCTCAGTGTTTTCAAACATTTATGCATAAAGTTCGTCATCTAATTGCATACAAAACAGTCATCTAAAAAAAACCCAACAACAATGACAGAAAACCCTTTTGATTTAGAGGTGCTGCATTCAAAACTGCTGGGAGCTCAGCACCTTTGAAAACTGGGAAGATTCTGACCCCAGATATAAGAACTTTGGTCAGTATTATTTTAAATTATGATGTTACTAACTAGTCAAACTTTTATATCTGATGTTTGCTTTGACATTCTGAAAAACATAATTTTCTGTACTTATTATTTTGGAACTAAATTATGCAATAAGTCCAAGCTTTTTTTTCCAGGGTATTCCTAACTCAAAGCATTTTTCAAGTATAAGTCAGAATCTTCTTCTTAAGTAAAGAAAAATGACTTTTGCTTGGATGTCACCAGATAGAATATAACTCTGTTAACTTACTGTTTTACTCTTGGTACATAAAGGGAAGGGAAAAAATTGATATAAAGTGTCTAGATGCAAGAGTTACAAATTGGGACTTAAACTGGAAAATGTTATTTTCCATTACAGATCTCTTCAAGCCTAGACAGACTGCTGTGTTTCAGTGAACACTGATGTGGTAGATTTAGACATGTTTTAAAAGATTGTTTATTAGAAGCTCTTGAGTCAGGTATTTATAAATGTGCTGTTATTTAGAGATGACTTTAACTGTTTCTGTTCATGCATAACCATGTATCTTGTTCTGTTTTTTTTTTTTTTACAGCCTTTTGATGATTTTGAGGCTTGTTTTTATGGTGCTGTAGAAGAATTTAGCAACTTAAGAACTGAAATATGACTATCAGTCATGCCCACCTGGCAAACGGGCAGGCTTTCCATACTTGAAAGATAAGTTTGGACACAAGTCTTATTGTGTGTTTATCTTTTCTGTAAAAGATCTGTACAACTTGGCTATTGGCATTTGCTGATATTTTGCCAGCTCTTTTTAAAAACAAAAATGAATATTTTGTTGATGATGTATTTTGATCTACTTCGGTTTAAGCTGTCTGTTAACTCAAGGGACCTTTACTTGTAATCCTGATTGTTTTCAGAGGTGCTGAGCACCCCAAGAAATTGAGTTAGCAATGCACTATATTTTTCAAAGGAAAAACATATGTAGATATATCATTATGCTGAAGAGGTATATTGTATTGAATCATAATTTTGTAGTTTCTGAGATTAAGTAATTGATTCTAATCATAGCATCAGTTACTACTCAATAAAGGCATGCGCCTGTACTGTGTTGCACTAGAAAACAGACCTTCCTTTCAAACCCAGCTATCTTCTTCTGTTGATTCTAAATGTGAAAACTATAATTGATGTTCAAATAAAGAGTAAAACGTTTGAAGCTTCTCTCAGTATTTTATATAGAGTCTGATCATTTGCTCTTCTCATTACTGTTCAAACATGCACCATGCCATAAATTCCTACTGATATGAACCACAGCTGTGGTAGGGTCACTGTCTTGCACAATTAGGTTCTAAACTCTCAGTCTTAATATTCTCTAACAGCTTTGTAGTTGTGAGCTGAAATCTTCTGCATAAACAAAGGGCACTGTTCAGACACTAACTATTGAGGGACTGAAATATTTCAGTTTGCGTAGAAAATAAATACTCCTTGGCTTGGCTGAGGTTATTGTATCGTGCAGCCAAATCATTGAGACTGAATATCGGTGAGTGCCCTATTGAAGGCAAAGATGCTGGGTTTTTTTTGTTTTTTTTTGATTCAGAGCCTGATTATAGCAGCTATCTCTGAGTACATCTACCTGCTCTAGTGCTGCATAAATTCCTCAGACTACCAAGCTTATATTCTTTGGCAAGGCTTAGGTAGAGATGAAGTGTTGTGAGCAGATCATCCGCCTAAGGCACGTTGTACCTCCTGCCAAAAAACCCCAAACCACCATCCAAAATCTTCAGATCTCTGAAATCATTTACTAGCAAATGTTGGTACCAGTGGCCTCCAGGGGTTGCCTGGCTTATAGGTGATTGAGGCAGTGTGTTCAGGATTTCAGTTTGGGGTATAGGTACCTAAAAATGACAGTTGGGCACATTTATCCTGAAGTAGAACTTCTAAGACAGGACTACTGTGAACTGCAGTATGAGGCTTGGGTGACTGATGCCGGTGTTGATATTTGCACCACAGGTGAGGTGAATCCTACCTTAGATTAAGATCCAATGAAAAGTTTAGACAACCTAATGCCAAAACGTGGAAGCCATTCTGCAGTTGCCTGATATCCTGAAGTCTAAACGCAATAGGATTGTATAGTTTTAGTATCTGCAGTGTTGAGCCTTCTATGTATTCTCAGAACTCTACCCAGTGGTGATGGGGCTGCCCTCCAAGTCCTGTTATAATCCAGAAGCTTCTGCTTAAATCTCAGCAACTGGGCAGTCACAAAATGCACTGGCCCTGGCCCATGTCAGTCTATGTAATTGTTCAGCAATTACAGGACTTGTTTGGAACACCCACATAGCTCCATAACACTTGAGTTACTACCATGCGCATTTCAAACTGCTGCCAGCCACCCAGGGAATTGTCATATAAAAATCTTCACAGCTAATCCTGGCAGTGCCTAGGTAATCAGTGTGTTTCAGGTGTGTACATTTGAGCAAATGCAGAGTTAAGGTGCTTAGCCCCATTTTGTGTTCTTTTTAAATGAGTACATCATTGTGTGAAGGAAACAGGATCAACTTAGAGGAAAAAAAAAAAAGATTGATAGAGGTTACTTACTAAATCAAGTAGCATTTTCCTCCCTCTACCCCCCGCTAGCCAAGCAGCAAAATGAGAAGTGAGGGAGGAGGCTGTTTCAAAGGATGAAAAGCAGATCTGGCTAATTAAATGTGTGTCCTTTGATCTCTCAGAGAGCAAAATTGCTACTGAGAGATTAGCCCAAAGGTTTATTTGGAGATTAGAACAGGTTTGTTCTTCTGCCCATAAATTTACAAGGATAATAAATTAAAAAAAAAAAAAAAAGAATTTACCTCTCCCCCACCCCGAACTGCAGGCCTGAAAGTATGGAGACAGCAATGGCAGGAGGACAGGGGGACACGACTGTGAATTTATAGTCAGGGAGACTAAATAGGGGCCAGAAGAGATTCTAGTTCTGAATTTAAATTACTTTCCCCTTTTTACAGGGCAGCTGTTCTGTGCTGCAGTCTGTAAAAGGCTGGAAAAGGGCTTTCTACAATACTCCCAGCACTACAGCTGAAACATTTTACCCTTCCAGGAATGCACTGTAAATAAACAAGCACAAAGTTACCAGCATGCTTTATTTCATGTGACTGTTCCATAAAATACAACTTTCTGAAATCAACAGCTCAGCCTTTTAATCTAATCAAAAAGTATATTCTGTTTCAGATTTTCATGTGACTGGCTATTATGCAAGCTACAGAATGCATCTATACCATTTATACCCATGAGGCATAGCTCAGGTAATATACTACAGTTGAATGATCTTCAGCAGCCACATTGATTAGATATTGAATATTTTCTTCACATGTGCAATAAACTTTTCATCTGGTAGTGGTTTCCTCTGGCTGCCAGGCTGCAAGAATTTTTTAATTGTTGGAATGTTGCTCATCCTTCCTTTAAAAGCCTGTAAGAAGCAGCAGTAAAACCAGTGAGCGTAAGGAAATTTTAAGCTATAAAGGATGGCATATAAGTCAGCTGACTTGGATTTTTCCTTCTCAGACATACTTTAGCAAACAAAGAAAGTTAGTAGCTACTTATGGCCAGCTCAGCGCTCAGCATCTTCCTCTGCAAATTTATCAGTCATTCTGGAAAATCTAGATGTAAATACTCTGATCCGCAATACTGGTGCTATAAAGTTTATCTTGGTTTCACAGATGGGGATGGGAGAATTTAATAAGGAAGAACAAAAGATTCATCTGATAGAGGCGGGAGAAGAAAAAGAAAATCACAACCTCAGTCTAGATAACTGGAATATATTTGGGCTGAAGAGAGGCAAGCACACAAATACCTCAATGTAAAAGCACCACGGAAGCAAGCCAGAAGAAACTGAACAGCTCTTGTATATGATTTCTTCAAAATACAATTTTGTTAGCAAAAACGCAAGGATAGGAACTGCGGACAGAACAGACCACAGACTTCCCTGCCTGATAATGCTTCTGAAGACCTGGAAGTACCAGTTACAGGATCAAACTACTAGAGCTGGTAAGTGAATTCCTGCCAGCTGAGGACTAGAAGTAGTAGAGCTGGAGGAAGCATTGGACAGCAAGTCCCCCAGGAGCTCTGGGGGCAGGACTGAGTATGTGGGTTCAGGTTATTCTAGTCAAGAGAAATAGATCAGAGAGCTCCCAGTGGCATACTACAGCAGTTCAAAGGATTTAAACATCAATAAGCTTTTAAAACTGGTCAGTGAAATCTGTATGTTATATTCCATATTGAGATCAGATGATTACTTACCTGTAACTGAGGGAATGCAGAGAGTATATCAGGCTTGCATTCTTCTGTCATTAAAATGGCTTCCAGCAGGTGGATGTCTGCCCAGCTTAACTTGTTGCCAACAAGATAATCATGTCCATGATCTTTTAAGGCCTACAAAATATAAACAACTAAAGAAGTCGTATGCGGTATAATAATTTTCTCTAGCTATCCTATTACAGATTCTTAGTTCCCAGGAAGAGATTCCCAGGAAGAGATTCCATGATGATTTTGGCCTTGTAACTCCGCCTCTCTTTTGGTCCATCTCTCATCCCCTCTGTAACTTCTTCCCACCTCCCTTCAGCTGCCTGTGAACCAAGGACCCAGCCTAGGAACTTGCCCCAATTCTGATACAGCAAAACTGTGTAACCTTGGCATAGACTTCTGAGGAGATTGCTACATCATGAGAAAGAGCTGTGAGAAAGTCTGTACAGTACAGCCACACAAGGTAAGAAAGGTAACATTGAAGACAGAAGCATGATTGTTGAGATGCAGATCATGGCTAACTCAATTCAAGAAGAAAAACATCAACATGAGAAAGTATAAAATGCTAGGGAAAAAAACCCAGAATTGGTAGAAAAATGGCAATTCACTAACATCAAGAATATGGAAATAGCAGGAAAGAGCAGATAGCAGCCCTTAGCCTCCTGATACCACGCTGGACAGCAAAGACTCTTCATGTGTCTTATACGGGGTAGGGGCATACTAATGCTTTATCCAGTAGCCCACTGGATCCTAGCTCTCTTTTGTGCATGCTAGCCAATAAATAATTGCTCTATGTTTTTAAGCTCTGTAAATCCTGTTTGCGGAGTCTTTCTGTGCGCACCTAAAGATATCCAGATAAAATGACTCAGAGAAGGACAGTAACAGTCTCTAGGTATTATTACCATATATGTAAGCAATAGGTTTGAGAAAGGTCACAGGATTAGGTCTACATTATAAAACACAATTGTATTTAGCTTTGAACAGCAAGAGTATATACACTCTCAGGCAAGTAAGTTCTAAAGGCTGGCATAGGTATTAAAATGGTGCACATATGCAAAATGCTATCAGCTATCAGCTATTAGGCTAGTTTTAAAAAGTTTGAGCCCACCCCTTTTCTCATAACAAGTAAGATTTGCACTGTGAGGAGTCTTACTGAAGTCAGCAGAGATACCTAGTACCAGAGTCAGCCCGATGTTATTTTGTGACCTTCTTCACATCACTGAATGTGGGCTCCGTCACCCAGTTCCAGAGTTGTACCATCACTTGCCCTCCAGGAAGTGTGCATTGGGCGGGAGGGTGTTAACTGTACACTGCTTTACTGTCTTCGCGGACTACTAATAAATTATCACCTTTTCATAGACAGGAAAGTATCTGGCTGTAGCTCGTTCAATGATTAAGGCAAGATTCTTCTCTTTTGCTTCAGCTGTTTGAAACGGGAGATACATGATCATTCCCATCAGGTCAGTTGTTCCCTCCACATACATATCAATCCTGAAACAAACGTTTTTAGTTAGCATTTATTATTTGAACAATCCGTCTTGGTTATTTGACTGAAACATGGTGCTAAAGTGATCAGAGTTAAATGCTCAGTAGCCAGTGTAGAATAAGACGTTAATTTGTTTTCTTGTTCTTCTGCTTTGAAGAAAGAGGGAAAAAAAAACTGAGAAACCAGCTTGTTTTTTCAAAGCACAGATCTTTATAGGCAGGTTCATTGTGTCTGCAACAAGCAGGATATTAAATATGCTAATATCACAGACTCTTATTTAATTGAGGTTCATACAGTCTTCCACTGATATCGTACTGACTTATGCCAGGGGAAAAAAGTATGTGAACGCCAACTGCTTTAGGGAGGAAAAGAAAGGGGGAGGGGAGGATTTAATGCCTAATTACAAAAGGTTCCAGGCAACAAATGGCTGCAAATTGCCATTTCAGATATGCTGATGCATAACATTAGTCCTCACAATCTCTGCTGAACTGCCTACCTATTACTAGACATGTTTTGATAGATATGTTTATGGGAATAAACATTTTACAGTAAATTGGAGCCAGTCATGTTAAGGACTTAGCTGTTTTTTTCATGATTTTTATTTTACTTATTAGAATGAGTGAATCAAAATTGTTGTTTTTCTATGAGCTCTTTAGTTATGATTGTGGAAAGCCAGTCCCACATGTGTGTACCCATAGCATATATGGTAAAGTAACATTAGGAAAATACTGGTTTATTTTTCAGTAGCAATAAGCCACTGAAGATTTTTCTCGTCTTTCATCAACTAGGAAAAATTCTTCACATTTTGAAAAAAGAAATTAAAAGTTTAAAGATATTTCACAGTGTTTTTCATGCAGCTCTAAATTTTCTACCGTTTTCTAGTAAAAAAAAGGCATACTTAGCCATTATCATTGTATTAAGATTCTGCAGTTGCTCAGGAATTTAATGCACTTCCAGTCTCTGTGAATTCAAAGGAACTTCAAGTTGGCTGTAACGTTCTCATTATGCTGACAATTAATAATCATTTATCAATCACAAAGTCTTCTCATCCAATCCTTGGAGCTCAGGTGACAAAGCACTGGCAGATGGGCATGCATCTTTACATGCAGTGTTAAAAAAAAAAAAAAAAAAGCAGTATTAGTAAGGGTGATATGTTACTATTACCATACCAGGCTCTCTCCTTCAGGTCTTTCCCGTAGAGGTTGTACTTTCCTGCTATGTAGCTGAGGATGGCTCTAGTCTGCACCATCTTCATTCCATCAATCTCTACCATGGGCACCTGCTGAAACAGCAGGGATCCATCTTCAAAGGAAACAGAAGCGAACTACTCAAACCATTGTAATAGTACTGCACTGAATCAGAGAAAGAAAGAGCTGATAATATGCTAGGATTTTCTAATTCTGAGTGACTAAAGTTCCTGCAATGAAAGCATACACCAGCAGCCAAGTTTCTCAAATCTTCTCTTTGTAAGACCTACTCTGATAAGATGTGGCCTGTAAAAAATGTCACCTCTTGTTAAGGAAGTCAGGGAAAGTACTCTTTTTGTCATATTGGTGTAAATTTATGTTTAGGAGACAACTTACAGACTCACCATTGCGTAATTTTTCTAGGTCTTCCTTTGTTTCTATAAATTCTTCCTCAAACTGAAAAGCAAAGGTAGAAAACAACACTGTGTCACTCTGACCGCAATGGGGAAGGGAGACTGGAAGTTAGAACCCCTCATATCCATGCTACTGCCCCTACTTCTCATAACTATGTGGAGATCCCCACTTGTATTCTCCATCTCTGCTCCAGCAAATAACCCCACTGCACTTTCCCCTGACCTCAAAGTAACATACAATGTTTTACACCTCAAAAAAAAACCCTTCCTTTGTTATAAAGCTCTGTCTACATGCCTGCATAAACAATTACCAGATACTCAGCTGAATCATTCACTTAAATGCTGTGTAATGGAGGCACAACTGTTACTCAATATTTCAATACATACTCAGTATGTAGAGTACATATTTAATATATATGTTCAATTTATACTCAGTATGTTCAATATACTCAATATGTTCTCAGTATTTCACGTGACATTAGCTGCTTTTATTGCTCTGTTTCCCCCTGCTTTTTTTTTTTTTTTTTTTAATAAAAAGTACATTTGAATGAGGGTACAATCTTGGTTCCCTCAGCACTCGTGCTCTGCAGCTTCTCCTTTGGCAACATTCACAAGTGACCATCATTTAAAAAAGCCTTTCATTTCCATTGAAGCAGCTTCTGAGAAATGAAAGCACCACATTCGAACAAAAAGTAAACATGGAAATTAAGTTGCCTCAGGATGGCTTTTCAGTTGATATAGATAGCTCTGTTGATTTCAGGGCATCTTTGCTGATTTACACTAGTCAGATCCTGATCCAAAGACTGAAAAGCACTTTGTTGCTACAGACCAAAACTGTATCTTTTTAACTTACTCTGAATGATCAATATTAAAAGACCCACGTGTACCACATGAAAAACTTAAGAACATTATCTCTAAACAGTCTAAGCTCTCTGAAACTATGTTTTGAAAACAAAGATTCTCCTTGTAAAGTAAAAATCCTTGTACAGGATAACTGCTGCTCAAACAATATCTTAAATACAATTTGAAACAGTGTATCACTGAATCTAAGGCATTTTGCATCACAACATGTGATGGGCATCTCTGAAAGCACAACATGTGATGTTGTGCATAGCTCTGTAAGCACAAACGTGCTTGGGAAACCTTTCCTAAACAGAACACTTATTTTAATCACAGATTAATCTGATCATTTTATAAAAAGGTACAAACCTCAACCCCAGCTGCTGCTAACAGCCATCGGATTGACTCCATCTTCCCCCTTCCACTTGTATAGTGCAGCTTGGGTTTCCCCGCCATGATTTCAGTGTTCTTGTTTCCTAATAAATTCAAGGAAATTATTTTAAAGGAATAATTTTTTTTAAAACAGCACTTAAAGTTTTACATTCCAACATACTAAATATTTTGGGGTGAATGTGAAAGGAGAGGGGCAATCAAGACCTAGAAACGTGGGTTTGATGCAGACAAATTTTCTGCAGAGTCAATGGAAAAACAGTACATGCTACCAGGATAACATGCAGCAATTTAGAAGAGAATCATCACAGCAGATGATAAACATGTGCTGGATCATATAGATATCTTTAGAAAATATCAGCTCAGCTTTAAGAAGTCATGAGGATCTTACAATCAAAGCAGAACTGTAGGATATTCTTGGATACATTTTTAATCTTGTAGTGATGCAATCTATTCAGTAGGTTTCGAGTTCGGTGATAGTGTCATACCAGACTTGAAAACCTACAATATCAAATTTATTGCTTCACAAGAACACCAAGGCAAAGATATCACTGTTATCTTCACCTCTTCCATTACGAAGTTTCAGAGCCTCGTGCTACTGTGTCTTTAAAAATAAGAGCTCATGACAGCAATATATATTAGAGCACTTATTTTACTAGGCCCACTGACTTTCATATTTAGCTAGTTCTATTTTGACCATTAGCCAAATCACAGTATATCCATTACACAGGATGTCATTTCACTTCAAGACCCCTTTCAATTTCAGGAACAATGTCTGGAATGTAGCAGTAATTTACATCCTGCTGACCTTGAAGACCTAACTTTGTTTTTGTTTTTAAACAACGAGATCTTGACTCATTTGGACAGATAAGGCCCATTCAATGGCCCCAGCGCCTTAGCAGTAGTGAGAGCTGAAAGTTAGCCCACCAGATAATAGCACTGGGTGAAATGCTTAGTCTTTTCAAAGTATCGCTGACACCAAAAACAGCTACGCGCTGAATCTGGCAGCTGGCATGGGCTCGTCCCACGCTGGGAACAGAAAGTTAACTGACAAGACTGTACTCTTATCACTAATGGGTCCTAGAAGAAAACTGATTGAATGATAAGAGGACAAACTCATGAACTGATTAACAGCGTTTCATTGTTTAGCCAAGGTTTATCTGTTTAAAGAGAGGTTTATTTATTCCTGCATAAAACTTTACAGTACTTAATTGAGTCACAGAGTGGAAACTGGCAATAATCCCAAATATCTCAATGAAGAGGCACAAACAAACAATACAACAGCTGGGAAAGGAGAGTGCATCCATGGCATTTGCCACCAAAGTCCTCTGTGTTGAGTGGTATCTTCAATAGGCCCTATAAGGAATGGCTGTTGCCCTACTAAGGGCCGGGCTTACAGAAGAACTCTGCTGCCCCAGTCCAAAGCACAGATTTTCAAAACTTCTGCCCAGCCTTCATCTAGCCCTGAAAACACCAAAAAAAAAGAGCTTTGCTGGGAAACCACCACATCACACCAAAATGCTTCATCCTTTGGTGCTCAAGAAGTAGATAACGGACTCAACTTCACTCTGAGAGGAGAGCCAAGCTCTGGCCTCTGGCAGCCTGGACAAACACTCTAACCTCAAGCATGCTGGGTAAAGGTTAGGATACTATGAGGACAGGCTAGTTTAAGGAGAAAGAGCAAACTTCCTTCCCCTCTTTTCTTCTTCAAGAGACCTGATGAAATCAGCCCAACCAGAATCTTGCTTGTCTCAGTGCTCCACTTCCAACAGAGGAAGCACCAGTGGAAAAAAAGCATCTGTGTCAACAGAACCCATACCTGCCCATCACAATTCCCTTCAGGTATCAGCTAAGGCAGGTTGGAAAAGGCTTAAATTTTCCTGGAACTGCACTGCTTAAGGACTGACTTAGGGATTTAGGCTGAACATTTGCTCCTAGCACACAGTGGCAAAGTACTTAAGTGACTCTGTTACTGCTCTGTAATGAATATGCCTTTGTAAAGCAATGAGTCGTGTAAGAGGAACAAAGTCACTGGTAAATTAGCTCTGTGGAATACCAATAACGGACTTGAAAAATCACAAACTTTCTACATTGTCCAGTGCACTGGACCTTCCTTAGACCTCAGCCAGACTATAGTCAAAGTGACGGTTTTCACCATGATCACTGTATTAGAAAAAAAACACACACACATGCATTTTTGTCCAAAACAGTTTGAGCATCAGCCTTGCAGTGATAAACAAATAAGTGAATTTAACAGCGTGCTCAAAATCTGCTGCAATGTCTTAAGCTTTCTTCCTAATTGCATGTGGAATCCAGAGTAGTTCCTTGTAATGCTTTGTTCCTCAAATATAGCTCCAACAGGACTGTTCAAGCAGAATGACCTTATGGCTCCGGTGCTTAGGTCCTGTACTGCATTGAGCCTGGCTCAGTCCCAAAATGTCTAAACTTGTAATTCCTCAACTTATGGTTCTGTTGGGATTCAGGCCAAAACACTTTGGATTCAAAAGTATTCCCTCCACCACCCAAACTAGGAGGAGTGTCTGAATAACATACAAGGGAAATCACCCCTTGAGATTTTAAAATCTGAATTACAAACAACAATTCAGCTTTAAAATCTCTGCTGATATAACAAAGAGGCAGAGCCAAAACCCCGTTATGTGCAGCACCACAGTCCAGCCTGGTGAGGGTCTCTACTACGGGAAAACAAGTGGGAGGTAACCCCAAGACAAGCATTGTCAAGCAGCACTGAACACTTCCCAAGTATGTACCTAAAGTAAAAGGTTAGTCTTTCATGCATGCAAATCCAGCCTTTTGCTCTCACGGCAGGCAGCCTTAGCATGCCTCAGCAAACACAGACATTCCCTTAGCAACCCTGAAGGAGAGCAGCAACAGCATCAAGTTACCATTAGGACAGAATCCAAGAGGAGCTCCAACTCATTTTGTCCTTAATGGACACTGATGTTATTCAAGTTACATAAGGCTACCTTCAAGTTCTGTAAACTGAGTGGTGCTAATGTTAGACCATGCTATATCTGTGCAGGTGTGCATAGGTGACAGAAGGAAGCAAGACCACACATAAGCAAGAGGAAGGAGATCTGGATCTTGTGTCAAGTTTTGTGGGTGTGTGGGTGTGGGTGTGGGTGTGCGCGCTTGTGCATATATACGCATGTATGCAAGCAAGCTAACACACCTGTTTATTCCCTCCTCTGTGCAGGTGGCCAGCCATGAAAGCACAGAAAAGAGAGCCTGCCTTCTTCTGCCTCCCCAGCCCCTTTCACTTGCCAACAAAAACTAACTACAGCAGATAGAGCAGACTTGTACAGCTCCACTGACTAAGGTGAGAACTGTGAACGCTCTGTACCCTCTAGGACTCGTCTTGCACGGAAATCAAGTGTAGTTTCTAAAAGCAGTGATAAGTGTAAAGCTCACAGAAGTGCACAGGAGAGAGCAGTAGAGTAGCACGGGGCCAACAGCTTGAAAAGCCTCAACTGTGGCAAAGCACACATGTCAGATAGTGCAGACTGGACATTTACATTGCTAGGCTTTGCAGATCTAACTGCGTAACACGCATTCCCTGTGCACCACTAATTACAGACACGAGCTGGAGGAGTAGAGATCAGAAAAAGGAGCAGGAAAGAGCTTCTGAAACCAAGAAGCTGTATTTCGCCGTTATCCTAACAGCTTCTCTATCTAATGGCTTATATGCAAGGCAAAACTCCCCTCGGAGGGACGATTTGGCAGCTCGAGGAGCAGCAGCAGCAGAAACGTTAGAGCTCATGGAGGCAGCACTGCCCCGTCCCAGGAGCCCTACGCGCTCCACAACACCGCGCCGCCGCACGGAGCCGCC